ACTCCCTAGAGGCCAGGCCCAATGCAGGGAGAGGTGTGACAGGAGCCCAGAGAGACAGGGGTTAGTCTATAGGCAACACGGGCCTTGGAGAATTCTCCACAGCCTAGGCTCAGAGTCACAAAGGTCACCAGGTTTCGGGGGGTGACAGCCCACAACATCTGAACAGTCAAAACTTAAAAGCAAGCCAGATGTGGTGGCACACAACTGTAATCCAAGCACAATGGGAGGCTGAGGGAGGAGGATCGCAAATTCAAGCCCAGCCTGGGCAGCTTAGTGACTTAGCAAGACCCTATTTAAAAGAAAAAACAAAAAAGGATGGAAGGTTAGGATGTAGCTCAGTGTGAAGGTCCTGGGTTCAGTCCCTGGTATCACAGGAGAAAAAAAAAAAACATGTTGAAAACCAATTTATTAACCCTCAGTGAGAAACAGCAGTCAAGTGGAGCAGATGTTCGCAGTGGCCTGACCAGAGTTTGCCCCCCTTGCAGCCCAGCCAGGAAGCTCCATTACCTGACATTGCTTGGCAACAGTGGACTCGAGACAGAAGCAATGACTGATAGGATGGGAATATAGGGTGCTATCAGCTGTGACAGCTGTCTCAGTATCTCTTCAGTGGCTGAGGACCAGGTGGGCAGCCCAGGTCACCTGTTTGGGGCATGGAGGCTGGCTCCTCCCTTAGCACGCCGCAAGGGAAGCATGTGTGGCCTTTGGTCTCTGATCCAGCAGGCCTCTGTGATTAGATGATGCAGTTCCTTCAGACCAGCCTTCAGGGCCAACCCTGCACACAGGGGAGGCCTAAGCTCTCCTTCCGGTGACCGTGTTCTGATTTCATCATTATCTTTCTCCTTTGCTGCCAAGGACCACCCACACTTGGTACTGAGCAGGTGACATGAACAACTGGTTGCTTCTAGGTTTGTTTTTCATAGGCGGAAGTATTAGTAATTCTAAAACTACTTTCTGAGTGTTTTAAGACTGAGCAAGTAAGTAATCTGGAGCAGATTTCTCATTGTTGGAGAAAAAAGCTGCACGTATGGAAAGGAGATGGTTGCAATTGAAGGTATCAGCATGAACCCATATTTTAAATATATTATAAAAAAAGAAAGATATAGAACTACATCAAGATGTACCGTATGCTTTTTTCTTATCTCCGACCACTGAGAGGACCGGGAAGTAATGTCATCCCAGTAGCAATAAGCACATGTGACACTACATCTTGGTCTCTGACTACCCACCAAAAGGAACCAGCACTCTTTGGAGAAATGACTAAGCCCAGCCCAAGTGCAGGGATAAGATGAACCTGGAACATCTTGTTATGTCAGAAAATAAAGAAGGGTCAGATTATGACAAGGACCTTTCTCAAGAAGACAGGAGCCAGCTTGAAGAGGACACCATGGCCAAATCTAAAACAATCTGAGCATCAAAAGAAATAATGGTAGTAACTGAATATAATTCATGGAATAAAACAAGTACTTATGAGTCGACAATGATGTAAAAAATAAATAGGGAAAACTCTTTGGTAACCATCACACTGCTAATCGGTTCAGGCAAGAATCACCAATAGATGCTGTATCTGGTGAGGGACAGTTTGGTGAGAAATAGTATGTTGCTATAGTCTCAGATTGTCTCCACACAAGACACTCATCACACAAAGAAAAATAGTTCCAAGACAGTGAGAAACCTAGCAGGAAGCACCCTGACCGAGTGACCAAAGCGCACATGGAACCAGCCAACAGCCTGTGCCCAATGATACAGTGTGAGGAGGATGCACCAACCTTTCTGAGTGTTTTTGCCCAAAACGCAGAACCCAAATATAATCATGAGAAAACATCAGATTCACCCAAACTGAGGGACATTCTACAACATAACCAGACAAGTCTCCCCCAAAATGTAAAAGCCATGAAAACAAAGACAGATTGAGGAACTGTTCAGATGAAAGGAGACCATAGTTGTCTTTGACAACTTAATGCAATGGGTAGCTGAGTTGGACCTGGGACTAGAAAATAATTTTTTTCTTTGGCTATAAAGATTTTTGGGATAATTGAGAAAATTTTAACAAGGTCTAAAGGTTAGATAACAGAAGCATTACATTAGTGTTGATTTCCTGATTTTGATCATTGTATTGTGGTTATACAAGAGAATGTTGGGGTGGGCGTGGTGTTGCACACCTGTAATCCCAGCACTAGGGAGCCTGAAGCAGGAGGATCACTGAGAGTTCGAGGCCAGCCTGCGCTACATAGTGACACCCTGTCTCCAAAAAAAAAAAGAGAGAGAGAATGTTGGGGCCTTTTGGAAACAAACATGAAGTAGGTAAGTGTGTATCATATTTGCAATTTTCAAATGGTTCATCTGTGTGTAGATGAAGAATAGGAATGAGAAAATGGTAAAGTTAATTGATAAAATATTAAAATTGGGGAAAACTGGGTGAAACAGAAATTTCTTGTTTCACTCTTGCAACTTTTCTGTAAGGCAGAAATTATTTCAAAACAAAAGTTTAAAAGTAAAACTTTTAGATAAAAACATGAATGATCAGTGTGTGGTGGTCATCATTAGGAAAGGAGTATGTCTTATGGGGTCAGGAGTTGCCACTGTGTTATATGCTCCAGGCTAGGGCTTTTGCCTACAGGAGAATTGCCCAGGGAGCTTGCTCAGTGCAGAGTCTTTGGCAAGTCCTGGTAGGGCCTGAGATTCTACATTTCTAGTGAGCTCTCAGGAGATGTTGAATCTCCCTGTCTGTTGGCCCTGGGTCACCGTGGATAGCCAGTCGGTAGTCACCACTTCAGCTCAGACCAGGCGTCCCTGACCCTGGCTACATGTTGGGACTCTGAGGAGCTGACTTGTAATTGATCTTCCTATGTGATCCTTATGTGCTGCTAGGATTAAATCTTTACCTCGGTCTTTACCTTGTGTCCTTCTTTCCATCTTCTCAAATTCAAACCCTACCTCTGAACACTGCCTTAGATTCCAGGCTGGATTCTTTGCAGCTGCTTTACTCCATTGAGCCTTCTGCCCTTTCACCTTTCAGATACCCACCCACTGGAAGTCCAGTGCAAGCCCCTCTCCCAAGCACCAGGCTCTCTGTGGTGTGGAAGAAACCTTTTCCTGGCTTCTCTCCTGGGCTCTCTCTCTTCTGACACTGGGCTCCCAGGAGAGCAGCAGCTCACACTGGCGCACATGTTTGCATTAGTAATCACTCTCACGCCCACAGGGCACCTGCCTTGTCTCCCTTGGTTCTCCTAGTCAGAAGCACCACATGGGGCCATTCTGCAGATGTCACAGATCCTTCTCTGGCTGGGCCCACTCAGGTACCTGTTCGTCTAGGAGAGGTAGCTGGCTGAGAGTCGGCTGGCTCACACAGTTTCTCCTCACTTGGAAGCTGGGCAGAGGAGTGTCTTTGGCCCAGACAGCCACTGGAGCTTACCCAGGACGGGGCTCGGCCCCCTGCTGTGTGTGGGGAGGGCAGGGGCAGCTTGGGTATTGCCCTGGAATTCTAGCATAGCTGCCCAATTCCCCAGTCCCCTCCACTCCCCATCCACTCACTTTCCACCTGCCTTCCTTCAGCCCAGCATATATTTAGGATCCAAAAGACCTAGAGGAAAATAGGTCACAGGGAGTTGCCACCTGGGACGTACCCTCAAGAGAGGGCTTGGCCCAGGAGAGCAGCAGTATTTGTGAGGCCAGCAGAAGGAGAGATTGGAAAATGAGTTTGAGAAGGGGGACGCAGGACTTGGGGTGGGGCACAAGAAGACCCTCTGTTCTCCAGGCTCCACTTTGCTGGCCAGAGATCCCCTTCTGATCCCACGCCAGCCTTTCACCCATGTGCTCCAGGGATGATGAGCTAATTCCAGTTCAGGGACTTGGCTGCCCAGGGACAGGGCAGGAGAACCATTTCTGGGATCTGAGAGAGAGAGGGGTCCAGGAGGGCAGCATTTCTGGCTTGAGCAACCTCAGAGGTCCAGGGACTCCTGGAATAAGGCTCTCCTTCACCTCCTGCCTGATGCCCAGGCTGCCTGTGTCTGCCTGGGAGGGGGCCAGTGAATCAAGGACAGGCCCATTCTGCCCCGAAGAAGGGAAACTGGCCCTTCACACGTCCCATCAAGAGGCCTCAAAGCTCCGTGCCCCAACTCTCTGCAGGTCCCCGCAGAGAGGTTCCTGTCTTCCTGGGCCCGAGGTCAAGTTGGAGTGTGTAGCCATCCTTCTGAGGACCAGCGACCCTGTGCACTTGGAGGGGGCTGCCCAAGGTTTGGAACAAATGTGCTCCTCTCTGGAGAGCTCTGTCCATGCAGCTTCTCCTTGGGCTTGAGGAGTTTCCAGGTTCTCAGCCCTGCTGAATTCCAAGGAAGAGGCAGGGACTTGGAAGCAAGTGTGAGATGGGCCCCTAGAGCTGTGAACATTCCTGGACCTAGGAATGCCCTCCCCCTCATCCAGCCCCCCTAGTTTTGGGCCCCATTCCAAGTCCCCCCAGGAAGAAGCTGCGGTCCTGTAGCCAGAGCTTCCTCCAGCTGCCCCAGCCCCCCACTGCCACCTCCTCCTCTGTCCCCCGAACTCCTTGGGCCACCTCACACAAGTCCACACTTGTCTCCCAGCCATGGTTTTTGGATCCCAGAGCAGCTGTAGGAACCTACTTGCCTGCCAGATTCTTTTCCATTCCTTGACAATACCCAAATTTCTCAATCCCCGATCTGGAGAATAGCCTTAGGACTACTTTTGGTAAAAGGGGCAATTTGGATGCTAAACTATTCTAGATTGAAATAATTAGAGGAATTGTGACTAGATTAGAAATGATAAGAGGAATTGTAAAGGGATTAAATGAATCAAAATATTTTAAGCTGAGACTGTTTTAGAAAATCTAAAACATATAGTCGCCGTACATATCCTTTTATGTCTCCCAGCCAAGCACCCAGTAAATACTTGAGTCTTCCTTGGCTTTGACATCTACTCTCTGTCTTCTCCACCCTCTCACATGCATTCCATTCATCTCCAATCAGCACATTACATGATTTTTCCATGAACCGATATTTATTGGTTTAAAAGTAATTGAATTATTGGCACAATAATTTCAATGGTTTTCAGAGCAAATGACAGAAGGAAACACATCACTACGTAAGTGGGAAGACTGGCCAGGATGGCATCCCAGAGCTGCTGCCACCCTCGCAGGAGAGCAGGGCCTGGCTCTCAAAGCTGTAGCTATGATCCAGCCCAGCTGGACCTGAAGGTGACACAGCCATCGCTTCTCGGCCTTTTGGCTAAGATCAAGTGAAGGTGACACAGCCACACCTCAAGGTATCAGAAAGGGTCCCCCGATCCCCTCTCACAGACAGACCTTCCTAGCCTCCTTGGAAGCTTCTTCCAGTCTTCAAGTTGTTGCCACCAACAGTGGCTTGAAGACCGTGGGGACCCCCCACCCCCCATTGTCCCACACCGCCCCCCACCCCTGTCTAAGCACGCCAGCCTGCTCTCTCTCCCTGAGCCACTTCCACAAAGCCTCCCCCACCAGGGACACACCAAGGCCCCTGTAGAGGGAGGGGAGCGGCAAGCAAGAGCTGGATTTAGAGATGGACCAAATCCAGCAACTTCCCTGATGTTATGTGCTCCCCACATTCATAGGTCTTCCAGCCAATACGGGGGGAGGAAAAGGGGGCTTCTTAATAGGAGAGCTGCTGCCGCCCCTCCTCTGTGGGCTCCTCCTCGATGAGCTCCAGGTCGAACTCATCTTCCAGGGAACCCCCGACTGGCAGGAGGCGGAACTTCTTCCCTTTCAGGGTGCAGGTGCGGTGCTCGAAGTCCAGCACGGCGTTGTGGTCCTGCAGCACGTCGGTGCCGATGATGGCTTCTTCAGCACTCGCGTTGGCCACCAGGAACTCGGCCTTCAGCTTCAGCTTGCCCAGGGACACCACTGTATCCCAGACGCCCAGGATTTTCATTTCGGCTCCATTGGCCACTTTCACCACATTCTCAAAGGGCCGCAGGGTATCCAGATCACCATCAGTGACCTCCTCCCACAAGCTCGGGTGGACCACAGAGACCTGGGCCCCGGAGTCCACCAGGAACCTCACGGGCACTTTGCCGATCTTCCCTTTGAGGTAGTAGCCCTTACCCATGCTGTTGGCAAACATGATCTCTTTAGGCCGGCTTCGTGCAGCCCCAGGCTCCCCGAAAGCCCTCAGGAGGGCCTCCTTCACAGTCCCATAGTCCCCCTGGTCCTGGACACTGAGTCGGTTGTAGACCTCTAGAGCATCTCCTTTGAGTGACTCTTTGAGGAACCTAAGCTTGGTAGCATGGTCCCAGTGGTTGAGGTCATCAATGACCTCAAAGCGGTGCAGCCAAAGGCTGGGAGCCACATTGGCCCCATCGAAAGACTCGGAGACGAAGGCACGGTCCCTGCGGCCCTCCTGGCTCCTGGCTCCACTTGCAGCCATCGCTCTGCTCACCTCGGGAAGATCAGCAGCAACCCAAGCCAAGTAGAGAAAGCCGCAGAGCAGTGTTGGCGAAATCACGCTGGAGAACAAGGCCTCTCTAAGCAGGGTGCTGTTTACTTACCCAGCCTGGGCAAGCAGAAGGGAGCAGGTGAGCGTTGTGGTGCTGACGGCTGGGCACAGAGGCAGGAGGCTATGTGGCCAGTGCAGTCTGCAGAGCCTTTTTGATGCCTAGTTGGGCCCCCAGGGCTACTCAGTCCCCTTTGTTCTGGAAGCTCCACCCCTGCCCGCCCCGCCCCCCTGCCAGCATCCTGCCTGACTAGCAGGATGGGTGCCTCACCCTTCTGCCTCTGTTCGCAGACTGACACAGGCCGGCCCACGTTGAGAGAATGACCAGTCTCAGTGGGGGAAGGGGCTACCCAGGTACCCAGCCTGAGTCCAGGATAACCCAGATGAGAACACAGAAGGTGTTATGACATTCAGGTGTTTATCATCTGCCGAGGAAGGAAAGGGGAGGCTTGGACCACATTCCCATCAGCTTTAGGCTGGGGAAGCCCCTTTGGCCTGGGACTGACCTCCTGAGTGGCCAAAGGGAAGGAGCCTGTACTTACTGAGCTCCAGCATGTGCCAGGCACTGAGTCGGGGTCTCTCCACATTCTAACTAAGTGTGGGTCCTATGAGATTCACTGGAGGAAAGACAGAAGAGGGTCTCAGAATTGAAAATGCACAGAAATAATTTGTGAGTCAACACACACACACACACACACACACACAGTCTTTTTATATGAACTCATTTGCTTCTATCATTTTCCTTCATGGTCAATCCTAATTCAAAGTCAGCCTTTTTTTCTTTTTTTTGGTACTGGGGATTGAACTTGGGTCCTTGTGCCTGAGCAGCAGGAGGCGAAACCACTAAGCTAAATCCCCTGCCTCAAAGTCAGCCTTTTTGAGGCTAGGCCTTGGCCTATGGGCTCTCTTGTAGACTGACATGGACAGGCTGGCATGGACCTTGAACTCCGGGGAGTGAACATTGGAGTCCAGGATCTGACTCCAGGAAGGCCCAGTGCTCAATGCATGTGTTGTCTCCTCCCTGCCAGCCTCTCCATTTTCTAGGCAGCCTTCCAAAACCCCTTTCCGAAGCACTGCAGCCATCCCCACCCCAGGCTGATTACTTATGGAAGGAGCAACCTAGGAATCTCACTCTCTTTTTGTTCACTGTGTGGTGGTACCACTCCTGAGGGAGGACATAGAAGGCTTGGCTGGAGGAGGCTCTGTGTGACCGTCTACGTGGTGGCAGAAGACAGTCCATCTGTGCCACTGTTGCCCACAAAGCACTTCCGTGTGCCCAAGGGCTGGAGGCCTGAGTTGGGCCTGTGCCGGGAGATTGGGGCTGCCATAGGCACCCACTTTTATGATGCTGTCCATATGCCAGCTCCTCCATGGACCCTTCGACCTTGGCCCTAGCATGCTTAGACATTTCTGATGTTTGTGTGTCACAGTGTGCTCTGATGATTTGTTCACAAGTCTGTCTTGGGACAAATCAGCCTGGGGTCACAAACTTGGCATTTGTGATTGTCTCTGGCCCTCATAGAAACTTTCTCTGGGATTCAGGAGGTACCCTCTGCTGGGCACCAGGCCTGGTTGTGTGCTATCACCAAACAGGCGGGATTAAGAAGGGCCAAAGAGGAAGGTTTGGTGGCACACCTGTGACTCTAAGGTTGTTTTTCCTGGCTGACACCCTGTCCCTCTTTAGCTCTTTATGCTGTTCATCACCCAGTGCCTAGCTGAATCCCAGAAGTACCTGCCCCCCGTCCTGCCTCTGGATGACCCCAAGGCCACCAAACCACATTACAAAGTCCTCAGTCCCCACTCCTCTCTCTACCTCCTTCCACCTGACACAGTGAGCCAGCAGAGAAGCAGTCGGGTCAACACCTCTCATCAGAGCTGCCTGGCTAAGGTGGGGCCTTGGTGGCATTCCAGGATCCAGGGGAGAGGGAAATAGAGTCACGTGGAAGGTGACATGAATAGGTGGGTGTCCGAGAAGATGGCACAAGGAAAAACCTGCATCTAGAAAAATGACCCAGCCACCTGCAAGACCAGAAAGCCCCTTCTGCAAGTGGACTTTGAGGGATGCTCTGGAAGGCCTTGCATGGGCGTGATTCCTCTGCCCAGAGATCTGACTCTGTGCTTCCTGGCTCCTATCACCTTGCATACCTGCTCCCGGTAGTGGGGATGAGTGCAGAGACTAGCATGTGACTAGGGAGGAGAGAGAAAGCAGGGCTTGTCAGCTGATGCACGGACTGCCAGATTGTTCCAAACTGATTCTTCAAACTATAGGTGCTTTGCTGATTGAAATCAGAGCTCCCCATTGCCCTTAGACTAGAGATAGGTGTCCCCCGGAATTTCATTTGCTTGGGTTTGGAGTTCTCTTTGGCAAAGTTATTCCACATTCTTCCCCTCAAGGAGGATAGTGACAACCCGTGAGGCAGACCAGTCCTTACTCCAGGAGCCTGAGCACAGGAGCACATGTGGCTCACCTTTGGCCCCAAACCATCCAGTGGCTAGATGAGGGCCTTTTTTTTTTTTTTTTGGTACAGGAGATTGAACTTGGATCCTTGCGCTTGCACAGCAGGCGGCGAAACCACTGAGCTAAATCCCCTGCGATGAGAGCCTTTTTAAAAGAAGACCGGGAAGTGGAATACCAGGGTAGGAGGGCAGACTCGAGGTTCTGAGGCTGTGCTGTTGATGACCTCTGATGAGCACAGTTAAGCAAGAGCTGATTATCAAATACTCAGGAGTTTTTTTAACCAATTGCTAAGCCAATTGGTAGCCTGAAATTGGACTCAGTGAAACTCTGCACCACGGACATTGACAAATCAGTTTTTGTTTTTTTCTGGAAAGCCAGTTTATCACAGCATTGGATCTGCCCCCCACCCCGGCCAGTGATTAATAAGTTTATACCAGTCTCAACTGCCTGGACCCAAGTGACCTGCCAAATTGGGGAACTGGAACCTACCTGGTCCCTACACTTCCCCACAGTCTGTGACTCGGGGCAGGTGACTCCATAGGGAGGCCTCCCGGGCTGCATCTGTTCATACTGCTCCCACACACACCGCTCTGTCTACGTGGAAGGGGTCAGGGTCCAGCCTTTGGCTAGGCTTAGGGGCCCATCTCTGGCTAGGACCAGGAACATGGTAAAGGTAAGTTCGAAGGATCCCTTTGTCCTTGGAAGGTGCCATACTTGGAACACTCTGAAGTACTCAGAGACCTTGGAATGGCTATGCTAATGGTGCACTGATGAGCTAAACCAGGTGAGGCAGGCCAGGGGCCACTACCTCCTCCCAGAACCTGGGTCATGGGACCTAATTATTGACAGGTATAGGCATTGGGTGGAACACCCTCATTATCACCCTTTAGATCTCCTGCTGTGCTCTAGAGCAGGCACATTGAATTTAACCTGAGAGGAGGCAAATCAGGACAATAAACAGGAAGGATTTAGGAGATCCCCACCCTTCACACCCCCTGGAGGAGGTTTCCAGGCGGTAGGCTCCTCCTGCCCCATTCTGCTTCAGCTCCTTGGTTCTTCTTTGCATTTCTACTCCTTCCGGAGAGTTGGGCAAATTGGGAGAAGCCCAGGGCAAGGCCCCTAAGGTACCCTGAGAATAGAATACTTGGTGAGCAGTGGAGACACCTAGTCCACTTTTGTGGTTCCTGCTGCCTGACCACTTGTGGGGAACACAGTGGGGAGCCTGAAGTCTTCAAAGTCCTGGGAGATGGAGGCCAGGGCCCCACTCTGCAGGGTGGGGAGTCACCGGTGGGCTGGGAGGGGACTTGACCTTCTGAGGACACCTGGCCTTCTAAGTGACATATTGTGAATTTTGGTTCCCCTTCTGAGCCCTGCTTGGAACAAGAAGAGGCTCAGGAAAGGTGGGACAAGCCTTGGCAATGTGCAGGTTCCCTGTAGCTCCTGCCCGGACTGACCCTGGCCACCTCGTACTACTGAGGCCAAGGTCACCCTGGGCAGCTGGCTGGGGAGAGCAAAAGGGACTCAGCTTTTCAAGACACCAAAGATGGTTGAAGGGAGACAAGGAGGTACACTTTCTCCAACAGGGACCAGACTCATGGGTGTGTGACTTGGTCTGTACTCAGAAAGGGTCTGAGCTTGGTTGGCTGCTGTGATGTTGCTGTCTTGAGATTTGGGCCCACACTGCAGCCTTTGCACTAGGCTCTGGAAATTATATAGCTGTTTTGTTCTTCAATAAGTTTAGAGGTGGCACAATCCTGTAATCTCAGCATTCCGGAGACTAAGGCGGGAGGATCACCGAGAGTTCAAGGCCAGCCTAGGCCACATAGTGAAACCCTGTTTCCAAAAAAAATTTTTTTTAGTTAAAAAAAAAAAACAAGTCTAATGGTGGAGACTTCTCTTTAAACACACATACAGACAGACACACACGGACACACACGGACACACACAGACACATCTTACCACACACTACACATACAGAAACACCCCACACATTAGACACACATCCTGTGCGCACACACACACCATACACACGGGCACACCATTGTTCTTGGATCAAAACGGTTAAGAAATTGTGTAACTTGACTGTAGAGTTTGGCTTCCACCTTTTGCTTCACATATGTATTAGCACACACATTTACATCAAGTATTAAAATCCTATTTATTGGAGGCACCTGCTGTTTATTAGCCTCTGGGCACACTTGCTGCTTCAGAAAACTGGGCAGGTCCCCATCACCACATCTTACAAGCTAATGAAAACAGGATACAGATGTTTAACACCACGTTTTAAAGAGTTGAAGAGCAATGTGCACATGAAGGCTGACCCACTTACAGCAGGCCCCAGTCACCCCACGCCACTTTGAAAGGAGCCGGCTTTGAAGTGGGTCATCCTGCCTTCTGCTCTTTCCCACCTGTGAGGACAGAAGGGCCTCGGTTTTTCCCTCTCCTGGGCACTCACCACCCAGAGCTAGGGCCCCAGCCCAGCCCATCTAGAGGCCTGGCCAGTGCTGGCATGAGTTTGCGTGGTAGGGATGGGAGCACTGGGCCCTGCTGCTCTCTGCTTCCAGCACTTGCTTTAGGAGGCTTCAAGCTGAAAAAAACAAAAAGGTGAATTCGGCTCACAAGTCTGGTTAGGGATCCAGGTGAGCCACGACCACAGCAAGGTATATTGGGAAATCCATGGTACCCAAAGTTCCCTTAGTCCCTGACCACAGACCCTCAGTCTAGTAGTGTCCACCGTTACCACCTGGACCTGGAACACTTGGCGCTCACATATAGTCATGGCCAAAGGCATCTGGGTAGGGCAGCTCTTCCTCGCTGTCCTCTTCTCAAGCCCTGCCAGACTTCTTACCAATATGGATGTTCCTCCCCCAGCCCTCACCAAACAGGCCAGTGTCACTGCTGAGGACAGAGTGCTCCTGCCTGCAGGTCCCTTCATCCATTCTCTGCTGTCCCCATTCAGCCCACCCTCCCCTCTTCCTTTTCTGCCTAGCTTAGGGGCCCTCCACCGGAGTAGCCGGGCCAAGTCTACCAGCAATCTAAGACATCGACAGGAAGCCAGATGCTTGGTGTAAGTCATGACCCTGCAGGTGCTGGAGGATGTAGGGAATAAGGATTCAGTGCTCAGTGCCATCAAAAGCTCTCAGGTCCCAGGTGAGGACCATGACCAACCAAGAGTCAGCTGGTTGCTGACTAACTGCTAAAAAACTAGTTAGCCACACTAGTTCACCCCTGTGTTATCTCTCAATCAAATATGAAGATTACTAAGGTATCCTGAAGGCCTAACCAGTCCCATCCTCACAGCCCAGCCCTCTGAATCAGGTTCCCGCCTTTGGCTCAGCTCCTGGCACCCTCCCCGAACCTGCTCCGGAACCTGTTGCCTTCTTTGGGGCCACAGAGTCCCTGGAGTTCTGCCTGGAGAGCCAGGGGCTCTAAGGAAAGACCCCAAGCAGAGCCCCTTCCATTCAACTGAAGTTGGGAGAGGGACTCGTAAGACAGGTCCAGACAGTTTTGAGGACATTGAAGCACTTTTCACAAACACTCCTGCAATTTATGAAATATTCAAGTAATGAAAATCCAGACTGAGTAATCTCCAGATACAAGTGGGCTTTTAATGACACCAGAAAACTTGGCTGTGAGCTAGCCACATAGAAGACTTTTGTCCAACTTAAAACACCTCAAAGGCAGCTTTGAACTGAACCTGAAATAGTTTTAATTGCTGTTAATGATACCCAGTATTGTAAGCAATGAAAACATACAAAGTCGCCCTAGCCCAGGGAACTGCTTCTTTTGAATACATTGCCAATTTAGCTTTGCTCCTAGTATCTAGAAACTGCAGGTAGCAGAAAGTGGAAATCTTCCCTCTGGTTTGTCAAAATGATCCCTCTCCTTTACCATCCAGAAGAAGTGCAAGAGGCAGGAAAGGGAAAGATGAAAAAGCAGCAGAACCCCAACACGGATGGAAGTCTCCATGTTATTAGTAGCAGCATTCACAAATGTTTATTGAGTGTCTACTATGTTCCAGACACCATGCTGGTGGCTGTAAATTAGATTAAGGCAGACAAAGAATCTGTGCTATAGACAGAGATGAACAATGCCAAATACTAGGTTGATTCAATTCCACACATATTTAGGGAGGCCAAGCCAGCCTCCTTCTGAGAGATGAATCAGATCTGCGGCCTCCCTCACAGTGCACCATGGGGAGACGGACTTGAATCCAGGTGCTCAGGATCCTGAGCCATGGGGGTGAGAGGGTAGCCATGCCAGCTGGGAGACTGCGTCAAAGGATGGTGGCTCAGGGAGCCTTGGGCAACTTCTCCCTCCCCAGAAAATTGACCACCATCACCAAAGAACAACAAAATTAAAGGAAATAGTGAAACAGGGAATGAGGACATTCAGAAAACAAAAACTTGGATTAATTTGAGTTGCTCCCAACAGGCTACCTAGGGAGGACTTTGGGAATTAAGACCCGGGACTCTCAGTACATGTGAATGCCAGACAGGAAGGCTTTGGGGATGGGGTTAGTCTCTGGGTAGGTAGTCCAGTGACAATTATGTATATAAACATAGAAAAAAGACCAGAAAGAAGTACATCTAAAGAATGACAAGTTATGTGGGGGTGTTAGGGTCATGAATGATCTTGTTTTCTATGTACATTCTGTGAATCTGGTTTCTCTTTTTTGTTTTTCTAATATTGGATCATGATTCTCTGAGCTACATCCCCAGCCCTTTTATTTTATTTTATTTTTTATTTTAAGACAGGTCTCAATAAATTGCTAAATTGCCAGGGTTGGACTCAAACTTGTGATCCTGCTTCCTGGAGTGCTGGGATTACAGGTGTGTACCACCACATTCAGCTGTGAATCTGTTCTATAATAAGAAAAAGTTCTTTTAAAATAAAGAAACTTTTAAAAAGATAAATTTGCCCTAGCCTTTTCTGTGAGCTTAAAATTATTTCCAAATAAAAGTTTTTAAACAGAGAGTATATGGAGAATATCTATTCCTTTCACTCAATTTTTCTCTGAATCAAAAACTGCTCTAAAAAGTAAAGTCTGTTACGATTTTGAAAAAGTTTTGTAAAAGGGCACCTAAAGGGACAGCTATACAAAATAAAATTGGCAGTAATAATAACTGTTACAGCTAAACCATAGTTGGAGAGGGCCATTTGAGTTTCCCACTACTTTGGGGTGCGTTTGGACATTTTCCACGGTAAAAAGTGAACCCCAAGTAAACAGAGGTCTGGGCCAGCCCCTCCCCTGCTGGATCCACCTGGTTCTGGGGCTGCTCCCTTGGCAGAGTGCTTGTCATCCTGTCTCGAGTCACTGGGGACAGATGATCTCAGCTATGTCACAGTGTCCCTGCTCCAAGTGCAGATTCTGAGCTAAACCTGGCCTGTGCCTGCCACAGCCCTGGGCCCCCTCATTCACACTTTTGTCCCTTCTTCTCCTGAATTTCTAAATTCTCTGGTTCCTCTCCCTCATCCAAATTGGTGTGCTGGAGTCTCTGGCATCCTCAGAAGGAAACCTCAAATCCCTGTGGATGGTGAGTGCTTTTCTCCCTCTATCCCAGGCAGTTCTAGAAGGCTTGGGTCATGCTCATGGGGCCTCGTAGGGCCTGAAGTCCAGCTGCAACCCCTCCTGCCAAGCCCCCTTGCGGAGGTGAGGGGCTGAGCTGGGCTGGACACAGGGAGGGACAACTTTCTCATTTGCATAAAGGCACCCCAAAGTCTCTGAGCCGCCCCACTTGCTCTCTGCCTCCCTCTGTGTCGCCCCATTCACCCACAAAGCCCCTGGCTTCTGTGGCCACCCTTATCCTCACTGAAGGCACCAGTGGCCTCCCAATGGTCACATTTTGTGACCTCTCCTGCCCTTGGGGAAGTGGATCTTCTGAAGCATTTGCCTGTTACTTCTCCTCTCAGGTCTCTGCCCCACTGGTTTCTTTTTCTCTTTTAGCGGGGAGGTTAGCCCTATGCAGTCCATGATGTCCTTGAACTTGTGACCCTCCTGCCTCAGCCTCCTAAACGCTGGGATTACAGGTGCAGCTAGCCCCAGCGGTTTCTTGCCCCAGGCTTGTGGGTCTTCTGCCTCTCAGACACTCCCTGAAGGCTCTCCTGGGCTCCTCCCCCTAGACACTGCTCTCTCTGGGTCTACACTGCTTCCTCTCATTCTACACACACACACACACACACACACACACACACACACACACACACACGCTGCCAGGGCTGGGGACTCCACAGACGGCCTCTGGGGCCAGCTGCCCCCTGACGTGTCCACCTAGAAGTGCCACTTTCAGCAATAAACACGCTGTCTTGCCAATACCCTCGGCCTGTTGTATTCTCCAGCCGGTTTGCTGAGTCAGAAACACAGGGGTCCTCCTTCCCTCCTCCTCGGATCCTGGCTGAGCCCATGCGCCGTGGGCCCTTTCTCCTGAGCCTCCGTCCATCCTCCTCCATCCAGCCTCCTGGCCTCCAGCCTCAGTGCAATCTTCCTTAGGACTCCCTGCCGGCCAGCCCCCTCCCCTCACCCGCCCTCCTCGAGCTTCAGGAGTCCTCCCAAGACCATCTCTACACTGCCTCATGGTGCCTCAGTCCAAAACAAAATCTCCACTCCACAGTGCACGCAGGCCTCTCCACTTCCCACTTCACCTGCACTAAATGGCTTGTAGTTCCCCAACAGGTTGGGCTTTCTGGGCCTTTTCAAAAGCCCCGTTCATAGCCCTGTTCTCTTGTGCTTCCCTCAGAAGTAAGCTGAGGCTTTGCCATCTCCGGGAAATCTCCCTTGATATCCCCAGCTCACTCTGGGGCTCCCTTCTCTAAGCTCCCAGCACAGGGACTGTTACTTCAGGCTGTCTACAGGCTCCAGGAGGCCAGGCTCAGACCTACTCAGAGTTGGAGCATGGACACGATTGAGGCAGGAAATTCATGGTGTTTCCGACCTCTGCTCTTCCATAAAGACGCCCTCCAACCCATGTCACCCTCGCTGTTTCCCTCTTTGGCCTTCCTTTTTGATTGCTCCTGCTTGGAGGGCTGTATCAGACCTGGCTTTGACTTCTTCACCTGTAAATTTCCACATCCAAATTTTTGTTATTGTAATCATAGAAAAATATTTTTCATCATAATTCAGTGCACAGACTTATTAAAATCTATGAAGTCGGCGGATGTGACACACACCTGTGATCCCAGTACTTGGGAGGCTCAGAAAGGAGGATCATGGCAAGTTCGAGGCAAGTCTGAGCTACATAGCAAACTCAAGGCCATCCTGAACTACATAGCAAAACCCTGTTTTAAAACAAAACAGAACACCAAAGTAATAGTAATAATAATAAAAATATACCAAATCTATATGTAGCTGAAACAATGAATTTACTACATGTAACATCCTCTGATACTCTGTTTTCTATTTGACTCTGCCTCTTTTAATCCTCATAATGACACACTAAATTAGTTTCCTAATCCCTAGTTGTTCCCCACCCACCATCTGTAACACTGCCCTGGCCCTTGGGGATTAGCACGGTTCCCATGGGGAACATGGCCTCCTGAGTATTCTAAGGAACTGGTTCAGTTTTGTAAATTTCCAGTCCACCATGTACTTTGTAAGAATGCAGTAGAATGAATTGTTGGAAAATAGAATAACAAAGGTATTTTTTAAAACTAAAGCCTAGCTGTTGTGGCAAATGCCAATAATTTCAGCACTCTGGGAAGCTGAGGCAGGAAGATTGCAAGTCGGAGCCCAACCTGGGCAGTTTAGCCAGTTAGCAAGACTCAGCATCAAAATAAAAAGCAAACAAAGCCCTGGGATAGGAAACAGGGAGATAGGTCTTCTGAAAAAGGAAGAGGACCAAGAAATGGAGGCAGGGGGACAGAGGGGAAGAAGACGAGAGAATTAAGATGTGTTCAGTCCATGTACCAACTCCTCATGATGAATATATCATTATGAACTGCA